GGTCAACATCAACGATGCCTGCTCGAAATTTTGTGCCTTTGTATCCACCTTCACAGGTGAATCAACGTTCTGAACTGAGATCAACAACAAAGATAATGTTCAAAAATTCCGATTATCTCCAAACTCCCGTGGAAACACGTCATAAAAAGGAATCATTGAGTCAAACGATAAACATTCTTTCTTTGGGCAGTACCACTATACTGGAGATTTATCCATAAGTATACTTGCCATTAAGCTGGAATTTTACCAATAGCAATTCAAAAGACAACGTCGATCTTTCAAAAGACTCCCCTTCCAATGGAACACATACTAGATCTTCTTGCTCATATTTCACAGACTATTAGGTATAAGTGTACGTTTTGGTCAACCGGATCACTCCAAAAAACATAGAAGACAATTTTAAAGCATCATTTAAATTTTTGGTTGAGTAGTGTTAGAGGTAAAGCAGTTCACTGTAACGCTGAACGCACGACAAGGTGACCAGAGAACGAAGATTCACTAACAACAGTATGACGCAAGTACAGTCGGCATTACCATCACGATCATTTGGGCATTGCATTCGGGTAGTTTTGTCTCCTAGACATACCCACCGTACTTTCTCAGTGATGAAATCCCACAGAGTGAGAGGCACACATTTCGAGGTCTCACAAGTGAGGTGTAAACCTAATCCGTTGAAACAAAAACTCATGACCTTATTTACATGAGTTTTTGGAGTATTCTTACTGTTTCCTAATGTAATGAAGGCCGAAGATCTAGGCGTTTTGTTTTGTTATGGGTGACAATATTACTTGCTGGTAAAAAAGTCTGGCTAGAAATTATCAAGAAAAATAAAGTGGCCTGCTGATAACTAGAAAAAATGCTGACCAAACAAACTTCTTTCATATTAGATGGCTCAAGTGGCTAGAGTGTGAATTTACTGATAGGAACATCTGTGGTTTGAACCCTACTCCTGCGTCTCGACTTTGCCTGTCTAGACTTGGGCAACTTGGCAATCTCTCAGCTCTCGTGCTTCCTTCGCGTTGCACGGCAGCTATGTACCAAAAGAGTGTTACGGCTGAACGATATTTTGCATAGCTGCAAATTATATTTCAAAAAGCCTAAAAGAAGTATTTTAAATGTTAGCACACAATTCGCGCATTTAAGATAAATACTTCAACTCGACACTGGTAGCCACTTACTATCCTGGCGAAGTATATTGAACGTGCAGCATGTTTAAGATAGAACACAAAAATTACCATGGGTGTCCACATTTTTTGAACTGTGACCCAGTTGAATATACTAACTTGATATAATTATGGAAAGGCCCAAGAAAGACACCAACAATGTACATTCACCTATCTAGTTTGGCCAAAAAAGGGACTGTCAAATGCATAATTTGCAGAGCTTTCTCTCTGTTTAACCCTCACAGCTACAGGAACAATTTCAAACCAACTTCTGCATTGTTGAAACCAAGCGCCTAATGATATTGGTCAAAACGTTCGCATTGTGGAACACATTTTTGGCAAAATTGATAAGTGGAAACGTATTAAATTTCACAACCACTCAAGGCTGCCAATTGGGGATTAACCAGAAAAAACGGGTATTTTACCAAATAACCAAGAAATAGCGTGGAGCTTTTCTCATGAGCATTATTTGCACACACTGCGCCTTAATAACAACAAACTGTAACACAAAGGAGATTTTACTACTATTTGATATAGTCAAAATATTTACACATTACAACCTGTTCTAGCCCATGAATTGTCTTTCTACGTTAAAGAAAACCATAGGGCCCGGCACTTTCCACTTAAAATGTTTTCAAAGCACTCATCGGAGGTCATTTACTGATGTATATTCTGCGAATATTCCTAAGTTTATCACGTTTTACGCCCGCATAAAACTCAAAGTAATCATTATAGGACTTAAAAATAAATTTTGCACTTGAGATATGGAAAATTTGGTTTTCAAATCAAGCTTGATACAAATTACAAAAACAGCCACATTGAGGCATTTGAGTATGCGCTTCTAAAAACTAATCTTATTGTTCTGCCAACAAATTTGAGGTCATACGACGGGATAAATGTGACGTAATTCTTTTTCTTATAACATTTCCTCTCCAAACTAAACTTCCAGAGAAATACAACTTAAAACGGCCTTGACAACAATAAAAAATTAAGAACGTATGAACATTTAAAAGAGTTGCCTGAGTTCTTATGTCTGATCCCTATTAAAGCCTTTTTAAAATAAAATGTTTTATTTTGCAGTCATCTACATTTTAAATTTTACCTAGTTTTTACCGATAGTGATCGTAATTTGACGAGGTAAAGACCATTTGGTTAGCAGCGGATCATCAAACAATTGATTTAAATACGACTAAAGTCACTTCTTTGGTCTCATATAAGGAAAACAATCACCCAAAAACCCTACTAGTTCAAGCTTATGTGAAATATATCTTGCGTGTAAAACCTCTCTTGTCGGGCGATATCAAAGTCGCCTCAGCTGCATAACATTATGTGTAAGACGCATTTGCCGATTCACTGAAGTGTCTGACAGATTGCGAGATTGTACTTTCCATTCTGCTAACCTTCTGCTAGACCAATGAACCTCACTTAAATTAAACGAACAGTTTTGCGTGGCCATAGGCCAAAACTGGCATGCAGCTGGTGTCCGTAATGCAACCTCCAGCATTCAAAATATGGGAAGAAACCACTTGGAAGCTTTTATCACAGGAGTATATGAGTTGCAAAAAAATACCAAAATAATCTTGTGGATATTTTGGTACTTTCTTCAAAGTACTCTATACAGGGTTAAATAATGGACACCATATTTCGGAGTTAACATACCTGTACCAACACCGGTTAGTTATTCAGTCTTCTAGAATGACATTAATTTTAAACTTCTCTGGCCATTACTGTAAACGTCCTGAACTTACACTTGTGTTTCATGAGGCGCGTTGTCTGTAAATGAAGATGCATATCACTGATGCAGTGAAGTAGCAGAGTGCTGTTTGTAATTGCTATATGACCAAAGACGGCTGCACAGTAGCAGCTCACTATGTCCTCCTAACCTGTTAAATCATGCACAGTATTAGCTTTCTTATAAGGTGAGAAGTGGAAGCTCAAATTTAATGACCTACAGCAGGGGCGAAATTCCTGCTGAAATTTTTCATTTTAGTTCGTGTTATTTCGATCCTAATATATTGCACCTAAGCTAAGCGCTGTGTGAACGTAAATGGTCGCTCTGCATCATATTCCAAGATAACGGATTTTCGCTTGACATCCCTTTTACTTAAACAGAAAATTTGACAATACGAACAACTGACTGCAGGATCAAAAAGGGTGAATGGTCTACAGTGACTTTGAAAAAACAGCGATTTTTTCGCACTTTACGATCTTATTGTTAAAATTCGTCTGTTGGTAACGGTCAGTAAGACTCTTACTTGCAGTTAGTGCCTGCATTCTTTTACAAAGAAGGTGACTTATTGTGGGCGCTATACACGCTTCATTTACTAACTTCCCGTCCGAACGGTTTTCAGTTTGTTCCCCCTCCCAAACATTCCAGAGGTATTTTGTAACGTCTGTAACCTGTGAGACTTTTGCAGCTTGAATTCATCATAAATTTGTGGTTGATTTTATATGGTTCTTTTGTATCAGCCTTAACATATCAGATGGTAGCAAACCACACATTCCACATTCATTTAAATTTTAGGACGTTGTCTTTGTATATCTCGTGCTCGTGTTTTGAGTTATTCGTGGTCAGTTTTAAGCGGATATCGACCTGGCCTCCCGCACTGGTCATCCGATTTCAAATACTGACGTGTTCGCCTCCAATTTTCCAGATCTATTTCATCTTCGTTTGTTGTGAAAACATCACTTCATCAAACAACACGGAAATATTGTTATGCGGTTTTCCTTTACTGCAAAATCATAGTCTAATGCACCGTTCATTCAATCGACAATGCACAAAACCTAGTCAACTATCTTAAACATACTGAATGCTATGTTTGTGCCAGTAGGTGTAATGTTTTTCATCACAGACCATAAATTCAAGGGGCGGGCCCATTATTCACATGTAACACCAGGGTCATAGGAGTGACGGTTAATTGGATGGGTGAACTGAAACATGGTTATCTAAAAATCTATTTTTCGCATAGACAGCCCAAGCTTCTGATGGTTATCTGAGGCAACATGGGATATCACTACTACCACAACTTTTTGGTTCGTCACTTTTTTAATCTGTGAGGAGTTCATGAAAGGCTCCGTAGGATTTTAATAATGAATAGAACGTTAATTTGGTTTATTTGCTCTGCAACGGCGTTTTTAAGTGTTTGTCCCAGTAGCTCTCCGCCTCTGTGTAAGGTGTAACGTTTTTTAAATATATATTTAAAAAACGTTACACCTTACACAGAGGCGGAGAGCTACTGGGACAAACACTTAAAAACGCCGTTGCAGAGCAAATAAACCAAATTAACGTTCTATTCATATTCAGCGATTATACAACCGAAAATGAGGTCTTTATCGTGCAGGTCCGATTTGCATGTGACGAAATTGTCTACGAGGTTGTGGTATTAGCATCAGCTGGCAACATGTGTGGTGATGATTCTGGATCTAAGTGTTTGAAGGAGAAGCAACAGGTATTGTATATTATGTAACTGGCTATAGCTATCAATTGATAGCTATGTTTCATTTCTTTCCCCCGCTTTACCACTTTTCACCCATCCCATTAATTCGTGATGATTCTCTAAGTGTTTGAAGGAGAAGCAACAGGTATTGTATATTATGTAACTGGCTATAGCTATCAATTGATAGCTATGTTTCATTCATTTCCCCCGCTTTACCACTTTTCACCCATCCCATTAATTCTCTTTTGCTAAGTATCTTTGTGGTGAACAAATTGTCCACAGCTGTAAATAGCTGTCCCCTCTCTTTTGTGCAGTGCAAGTGCGCTATGCTTCCATTCAACGACTTACTTGTAGTTTTCCCATTATTGCACTCTATACCGTAATAATTTTATAATTTGATATGCCGTATCAGGCTTACAGTCTTGTGAAGCTCCATGAACAAGGCCTATGGCAGTGTGCAGTCCTCAGTTCTTCATGGATTGAGGGTAACTGTGCTACATGGCCAAAAGTTCACTCGAAGGACTTTTATAAGTCCGTTCGCATTCCAGCCGCCAGCTGGATCATTGAAGCTGAATTGCAAAGTCATTCGGACTTACGGTAGATGTCATGTAGACCGCATTAACTTTTCA